CTTACAGTATAGTACCTTGAAAAGTATAGTAGTACAGTACAACAGCTGGCATACAGGGGCTGGCATTGAGTGAACAGGAAAGAAGAGTTACTGACTGAGGAGGGAGAGGAGGTGGGAGATGGTAGAGCTGAAGGATCATCAGCAATAGGAGATGGAAGGTAAGCTTCAAGTTCACTCACGCCTGATGTTGATGAAATGCATTTTCACATCTTTGAAAGTTCGCAACTTGAACTTTGTAGGGGACTTACTGTACCCAGAATGATTTCAAGGAAACTGTACCAAAACCCTACAAATAAATCAAGATGGAATCCTAAAAAAAAAATGTTCAAGTAACCCACAGGGGGGCAAGAAAAGACAAACGGAAGAATAAGAAACAAAAAAATAAAATGATAAAATGGTCTAACATATCAACAATTAGCTTAAATATAAATGGTTTAAGTACACCAATTAAGAGCCGGGATTGGCATAGTGGATAAACTCTATCAAATTGTCCTCAACAAGAATTCCTTGAATAAATAGATATTTCATTTCTTAATAAATTAAAAAGGAAGAAATTATCATGAAAAATTTATATTGAAAATTTTCTTTCCTAATGAGGAAGCAAAGAAAATTTGTTCAAATGATCAAGTCCCCCAAAACTCTTTTGCTACTAACCAGTTTTATAACCAGAAAAACATTGATCTTCTTAATTAATTTTACCAAGGTAGCACAGTTCTTAAATAAGTTTTGATGCTGATAGTGCTGAGTACTTATTTATTATAAATAAAATATTAACTTATAAAACATAAGAGGGCATTTAATCCAAAATCACAATAAAATTATCCTCGGGATGCAAGATACTTTAATTTTGGAATTTATTAATATATGTCATCAAATTAATATATCAAAGGGACATATATAAAATAGTCAAGAGATAATGAATGATAAAATGAAATAAAATTCCAGACCATTTCTGATTTTTAAAAGTATTACACATTATATAAATGATTTTTAAAATACCCCATATTCTTCTATCTGTTTTTCTAGTCAGGTGCCTTACATGAGTGAAGAATGAACAATAAACAATGAATAGAACAGAAAAAACAAACAAACAGAAACGGTTCACAAAACTGCAAATAAACAAACACCAAAAGGTGATATTTTCCCCTATCAAATAGAAAAAAGTAAAAAAAAAAAAAAAAAAGAACATAAAGTCCTCATATGTTAGTAATTTAATGTTACAAAGGAAGACAAAATTAATAGATGATAGAAACACACATTATTTATGTGTGGTTAGGCTTCTGGGATATAAGAATTCCATGAAATGCTGAAAATAAATGTAATTATAGTGGAAATTAGTAAAAAAATATCACAAGTGTTAACTGCTAATATATTACAGGAATCTTAAAACTGTATGCATTATTTAGCTTGAAAATTATACTTCTAAAAATGTGCCCTGAAGAAAGAG